ATTATTATTAAATTATTTATATTATTAACAATACTTTTTAATTTTATTATATACAATACTTTTTTAATTACTTTTACAATAAAAACTTTCTTGAAAAAGTTATCTCGAACCCAACACACCCTTAAATGAAAAAATGAAAACAATTAAAGAGTGAGTAGGACGGAATATGTGGACAAACATAAGGTACACAAAATGGGAAGTCTGTTTACTATATTGTTGATTAAAATTTGATTTTTAAAGAACTAATTAGAAAGTACATTCTCATTTATATACCACTTTGATTACAATTATGCCACTCACTTTGCCACAATTTTGCTGCAAACTCTTTGTTTGATTAGATAAAAATAAGCACCTTAGAACAATATGACTCAATCATATTAGTGTTTGGGCAGACTTAAAAGGTGCTAGCAAAGCATAAACATATAGGGAAAACAATCAGGAGACACTCACGTGATGCAAACAGATGTACTAATAGAGTGGCAACATGTGGGACATTGTCATGAATGAGATTTATAAATAACTCCTAACTATCCCCATATAAAACAATAACTTCATTACGTTTCTCTTTCTACAATTACTTCTCTTAAAAGCTTCTTTCTTTAGATTGTAGAGTATTGCTCACTTGAAGTTCAGAATGTTTGCCCTGAGAGTTTGTGAAGCAACCCAAACAACTAGCCTTTTAAGTTTAATTATATTCGTTTAAGTCGCTGATAAATAGCAGCCACAAGCATGTTGGTGAGGAAAGAAATGAGAGAAAATTGCATTCCAATTTCCCATTAGATTGTTTCCAAATAATAATAATAGAAATGATACATGTTAATGTGCGTTACATGTTACAAGATATTAGATATGAATACGGGAAGGACATCAAATCTTTTAGAATTTAATGGGGAGTTCTGCGCCCTCAAACCAGATTTCTTCAGTCAACCAGCTTTGTTGACTAGAACAAATCATAGATAATTCACATGTTCAACCAAACTAAATTACAACATCTTTGACCATTGGGATCTCTATTTTTATTTATGAACATTAGTAGGATCTCCTTGAGTCGACCATTGGAATTACCAAATGCCTTCCTTGGACATTTTCAGGAAATGGGCCAACGTGATGTTTGGGAGATCAACCTCCCCCGATTTCTTCTTCTTTATCCTGGTCACCTTCAATGACCCTGCATCCTTTGACTCTGTAACTGTTACCGAGACCAAGTTGTAGAACTGTTCAAGAAAAGGAATCAGAAGACATAGAACCATGTAATCCATCTCTACATGAATGTACTCTGGAAAAGTTACTGTATTTGGAATAATAGATGGATTATTAATTTAATACCTCACAAACACCATGCAGAAGCAATCTATGAAATGGATCTTGGACCTGTAGTGAAAGAACCTCTCCATCTCTGCTCTCACTAATGAAGGGCCGTATGCAATCCTGAAAGGGAAGGAAAAATGAGTAATGAAATAAATGTGGCCCTGCCAATTCAGATACCAATGGCAGGTTGATATTGAGAATCATTAAGACTTCTGCAACTGGTAATTGTGATAACCAGGTATCTATCATCATATATCCTAAAATTTCAGAGGAATCAACAGACTACCAAGCACAGCCAATTCTAGCCCAGCCCTTCTCAACATAAGTTGGCCTTATTAAAGACTAGGATCTCAGCCACAGAAAAACATAAGCAGAGCCCAGTGCATTTCTAATTGGGCATATGTGGAAAAAAATTGTGCTACTGAATTTTCAACTTGCAGTTTATATAAAACATTCAAGATGCCAATCATCATAATCATTTGATGAAAGCAAAAGCAACACGTACCTCATAACCCTCAATGAGCTCTGAAAGAAAGCTACGGCGTAATGCCTCTCTTGTTCGACAATCAATTCTACGCCATGCATTCAAGACAGCCATCTTATCACCATCAACATGGAACTTCTTCTTTGCTGAGCTGTTTAAGGCACGCATGATACTAGCCTATAACAAAGAGAAACATGACAGCTTCATATTTTTGCAATACTCCATGCCAAACAAACACTTTCCATTCTAGTGTCGCGTGCTTCTTGTTTGTGTGCATATGTATGGTGTTGCCTATGGACCACCTACTAACTATTGAACCACAGATCTGAGAATCCAATTCAAAATCCAATTGAAATGAAAGCAGATATCCAGTAAAGCAGCTAATACAGACGAAAATCCAGATTACCCAACTATATACTTACCTCTTGTACCATACCATTACTTTGTTTTTAAAAAATTATTAGGGGTTTCTTCTTGAGCCACAGAATTTTAAAAGATTGAAACAAGCTTCATGTGAAAGGGTAGCAAAATGACCTCTTTATCCATGTCTATATTCCTAAATCTGTCCCATTCTCCTACATTAGTCATGCAAAACGGTGAAGGTGGGACTGCATCACCTGTAAATGGAAAGGAAATAGGGATTAATAAGTAATAACATTCTTTAGAAGTAACAATCCAAAGAAACTACAATGAGCAACTGCTTGGGAGAAAAACGTTTTACCAGTTAAAGAACATGCTATTCAAGTTTCAAACTTTCAATTAGCAAAGTAATAGCAGCATTAAAAATGTGTGTGAGAGAGAGAGAGAGGAAAGTGTAGAAGTCTTTGTTCTTGCAGCTGTAAGGATGTGCATTAATGTGATCAGACTCAGGTATAAGATATTGCAACATTCATAAAAAATTAAGAGAAAAAAAAAAGGCATGTAAAGCATGACTAAAGTCTAAATGACTAAAAAGTAATTTGATGCCACGCAATGGCAGAATTTCTATGGTACTCGCTAAATGTACTGAGTGAAATGGAAGGGGAAAAAAAATTAAACAGCTTTGTGCCATCATTCGGTGATCTTCTGCCTAGCAACAAATAGACACATATCATATATTGATGAAGTCATGAGTCAACAAGTTGTCTAGATCAAGGGCTATTATTGAGAATAGAAATCTGTATAATCTAGTAAGCTTTCCGACCTTATAGTTACCTTCAATATAATGATAGCTCCCAATACTATTGTTTCTGCCTAAAGATAAATTCCACATATATCGATTTCAATGCATAATTGTCCCCCCAGTATCACAGGCAGAGGTCCAACGTCATGAACTTGTAAATGCAAAACTTATAGGTCTCTACTCAGCACTCAAACCAAGTCCTCAAAATGGGAAATTAAGGACAAATCATTACCCCAAGGTGGTGGAGCAAATAAGCCTCTGATTTCTTCTGCATTCAATTGGGGTACAAGCTCCATCAACAAACGATCATTCAACCATCTCCGAGTTCGCCTGTTGGTAACCTAATAGCAAATAAACAATTCCCCATTTGATGATTACCCAAAAACAGAAAGACAATGAATGAATTACTTCTTCTAGATCTGAGCTAAGTGAAAATTACCCCTTTCTACAATAAATTTCACTTTCTAGGACCCAATATCATAAAAAATAAATCTCATAGATATATGAATGATAAAAATCATAAAGACGGGCTAAATGGGGTCGATAACTAGTGATAAAGAACGTTACTTTGCCAGCCAAGCTCTCGAGACACTCAATCTTCTTCTCAATCGAGAGCTCGCGAGATTTCGCACTTTCGCCTGCTCAAAATTTTCAATGAATCATCACTGAATTTTCCAACAAGGGTATACCTCAAAAGCCTCGAATTCACACTACTAACGAAATTGAATCAGAGAGTCAACAGAGCAATATCAAGAAAGTGGCACAGACATACCTTTACGAGGATCGACAAGCGGAGAAGAAAGGGCAATGCCGTCTTCCCTCTGAAGAACATCAGGAGTCGCCATGATTGATTCGGGGAAGGATTAGATCTGGGTTTCGTTTTTATTCGTATTGTAAACCTGAGGATGAAGAAGGAAGAAGGAAAGAAGGATGAAGGATGAAGAAAATTGCTGGAACGTTTTGAACCTTTAACCCAAACACGGCCTTGGGGAAACAGACGAATATACCGCGAGTGGATGCCAATATCTTCCGTTCGGTTTTCCCCTACCAAACAAGAAAAAAGGGCCTTCTCGTCCTGGACTGTTCAACGGTCCAAGTTTTTTTAATACAAATCTCAGCGTTCAGAAATCAGGTTGAACCTGATTAATTAAGAGTAATTTAATAAAAAGATTTTGTATTATCTATTTTTATGTTTATAAAATTTAAGTTTAAAGTTTTATTTAAAAAACTAAAAATTAAACCTTTCAAGCATGTTTAGGTTAGTTTGTACGAGGTTTTTTTTTTTATTTTTTATTGTTCATGAGCAGAGCTGGGCATTTTTTAATCAAACCGATGGTTTACCTAAAAATCGAATGAAAAAATGAATTCAATTCGGTTTTAATGGTTTTTGGTTTTATTTTTTTGATTTTAATATTAACCAAATATATTTTGGTTTGATTTTGGTTAAGTTTTTTAAAAATCAAAAACCAAAAATAAAATTGAAATTAAGATAAAATAGATAAAATATA